CAGACAACTAGCGACTTTTAAATGCGATTATATCAGATTATATTGGAGAGCAGGAATTGTTTAAGGACACATTAAAGGGAACAGATTAAAATAAGTATTATAATTTAGTGTGTCAGATTAACTAATTCTCTTATTAACCACAGAGATTAGTAATGATTAAACTGGTATTTTTAAGATATTTGGGGATAGGGTTACTTTAAAACACTTGACTTTCCTTATTCAGTTTCTAAAGCACTTAACAGTGTACCAGATTCATCACCAGTTAAGTAAATGATCTCTGCCTTCAAGGAGCTTGCAGTAAAATGAGAAAAGATTGGCACATAAATCAGCAGGTATACTAAGCGGGTAGAATTAACAATATTTACAATCATTTAAGCACTTAATTTTTGTTGAATGATTTTTTCCAGCTTCCTGGTACTGAGTAAAACATCCATACATATAGTTGACCCAAGTGTAGTTATGCACTGCTTGACTACTTTCTACGTGTCACAAAATATTTGACTCCTTTCCTGCCAATCACTTTAAAATTTTTTGCCTCCAGGCCATAGTTTACTTGCAATAGAGGGAAAGGGGGCTTCTTGGGAAAGTAAGGCTATGACTGACCTTGTATCTGTATCTTTCCAAGTTTGTTTTCTTGTGTCTCAATTATAAAGTGGGTTTAATGCGGGCATTAGTCCTAATTGAGCAGTTCAAGATTATCACACACCGTGTTACTTTCCTCTAAGGCCTCTTTGGTAATGTAGAATGTTTTGTTTCTAGTGTATGTTCTTATGCTAAGCAGCTCACCTGGAGTATTTCATTTAAAACTCAAAGAGCCCTGTAAGGCAGGACTATTTTCTCCATTTAACAGATGAGAAAATTGAGGTTTCTATCAAGTAGTGAGTTGACAGAAAAAACTTGAATCCAGGTTATATTCACTACTTTTTGTTCTTTATTTCTTGACTTGTGCTATTAAGTAAACAACAGCCAGGGAGGCTCCTACCCTTAGGACCTAGGATTCCTCTTACATACAGTGGTTGTTCTTAGGTAAATTTATATTGAGTCTAAAGCCTATGTGATTAAAGACACAACTTTCCAATGCAGTATCTTTAGCCATGGACCTAATGGCTGATGGCTTTCATGGTTAGTGTGTTGGTGAAGACGATGAGCCAGATACATAAGGCGGCACATTTTTTGCATATCAGCAATACGCTCACAAGGTACAGAGTACCTTACAGAGTAAGGAAGAAAATGACACAATGATAATATATGTCTTTATTTCCTAGGGCTACAAATGAATTATTGTTTCCTTTTGATGGAGACAGTTTAAAAAGGTGGTTTGTAAGTATAAATATATATTCTCCAAAAGTATTTCCAAACAAGTCATATACTTATCTACTCCCAGCGTGGATGTAAGTTTTTTAAAAAAATAATTGCATTGAACTTCTATATCGGCCGGACTGTTACATCACAGGTTAAGCCTTATACAAACTCCAGTGTCCCCCAGTCTCCATTGTTTCTCCTGGTTATTCCTCTCCTTAGCCAAGTTTGAGCTGGAAAGGATGTCCTTACCCTAGGGATGGAGGTATATTTTATTTT